TGTCTGCGGCAGGATGCCGGGGGGTCTCGGGGTGCAGGGGGAGGACGCCGCGAGCCCCGTGTGAACGGAGCCAGCGGGCGCCTGCGCGCAGCCGGCCCGGGCTGAGCCGGCCGCGGGGCCCGAGCCCGAGCCCGAGCCCGAGCCGCCCGGCGGAGTGGGGAGCTCGCCCAGCCCCTGCCTGGGCTGGAGCACGACCTGCCCCGTCACACGTGGGCGGAGGGAGAGGGAGCTGAGTCCTGGCGTCCTCTGGGGTCGTCCTGGCCGCGGCGGGAGCGCGCCCGCTCGCACGGACGGTGCCCCGCTTTGTGCCGAGCCGCTGCGGGGGGACGGTGCTGTTATAGGCGAGGGCAAATCAATGGGAGTTGGGTGCCTAAATCCCTTGGAGGCTCGGGGCCCAAGGTGACAGGTAGCGGATAGTGACTCAGATCTGCATCTCCCTCCTCCTAGGCGCCCGCTCCGCACAGGCTGCCCAAGAATTGCCGTGGGGCGGCATGGAGGCCCTCTCGGCCTGGGCTGGACTCGCTCCCTCCCCCCAGGGCAGACTTCCCTTTGCCCTCTGCCCCTCCGGTGCCCGGCTGCTTTGCTTCTCCAGCTATTTACTTTAATAGGATTTGGTCCCTGGGAGAGCCTGGGTGGAAGCAATCATGGGTGAACGCTGCCTTGGGGCAGGTTTATGTTGCCTGATCGCATATTTGTTTGAGTGGATTTCTCTCGGCGTCATGGGTAGGAGGATAATCCCCTTCCGAGGCTTAGCCCGCGTGGGATCATGCTGCGCTAAGCCGAGGGCTGGGGGCCGGCTGGTGCTGAGTCGCCTAACTTTGCAGGAGCTCCGTGTCCCATGGGCCCCTTCCCTGCCAGGGAATGAGCCTGGGATGGGGATTTCAGCAGGTCAGACAAGCAGCCCTAGTACACGATCTTGTTACACCAGTGCTGCTCTGATCTAGGGCTCCTTCCCCCAGTGCAAGCTCAGTAAGGAAAGTTGCAGCAAAGTGGCAAAGCCCTGGGGGTGGAAGGATCTGCCCTGGATTGCTAAATAGAGGGTCACTGGCTCCTCTGTCATGTGATGCCTTCCTTCTGTGGCAGCTCCAAAGCCCTTTGCAGGTGTTAGACTATTAATTACTTCTCCCAGCCCTGCCCCCCATCACCCTCCCCAGCATTTGGCAGAGATTGTTGTCCCCGTTTGCAAATAGGGCACCCAAAGCACAGTGGATTCATGGCTTCACCCAAGGTTGCACAGGGACTTTGGCAGAATCTGGAATTGAACCCAGGAATCCTGGCTCCGAGACCCATGTTGCAACCCGTATTGTTGTGTTTGCTGTAACAGCAAATGACCCAAGCTGCTCTTGCATATAGCTAATCCAGCTTTCAAACCAGCGCTCCTTTCCCTGGCTCCAGGGGCAAGGGTGGGCTGATGGGGGACATACCTAAAGGTGCCCTAAATTCAGGTCCCTGCAATGTGATTACTGCCCCTCCAGGTTTCATTAAATGCTGTAGGAAGAAGGTCTGATCCCCAGCAGGTCAGGAGAGGTGGAAGCCTATCATTAAGATGAGGGAACTTTGTACACAGACCCTGGGCCTGAATGTGTTTGGGGGATAGAGCAGGAGGGATCGGGTGGCCTATAAAGATAAGACCCCAGCGCAGAGCGATGATAACATCCCAGTGCTTGGAGAAAGCCCCAGGCTCTGATGTGCTGCCAAGCAGATGCCACCTGTCTGGGAGGGCAGTGTGGTGCCAAAATGCCTGATCCAAAGGCCTGTAAGATCCATGGAAAGGTCCCCCACTCCTTGAATTCACCACATTCAGGATCAGAGCACATGATTGGTTCACACCAGCATGGGCTGTTAGGTTGCTTCTTGCCTCTGTGCCCTGCATGCTGTGCTACAGGAGAGCATGGAGATCAGGTGCTGAGGACAGGAGGGGAGGATGGCTCTGATCATAACCGTGTCCCCGGGATTTTCCACAGGTGCCCGCGTTATGCTGATGAAGGCTCCACACTAACGTTGGCAGAGACATGAGTAACAACACGGTAAGTCCTCTTCACGAAGCAGCCCTGCTGTCCTTGTCCTGGACGTCCATCCCTGGCCCTTGGACAGTGTCATGGAACCTCCCGCCCACTGGTAGCAAGCGCACTTCATCTGCAGGACAGTCGTACGTTGGTGGTCCATGCAGTCCTGCATACTACAGGGACCCTTCCCCATAGATGGAGAGGGCTGGAGCCCAGGGCTACTTGGTAACTTGCTGAATACCAGCTCCTCCCAGCTCAGAGCTGTCTTACCAGCTTCTCTGGGGACTGAGGCAATGCCTGGCAGCACTAGCCACTGAGGGTGAGCATTCTCGTAGCTGAGCAAAGTTTTGCCAAGTATCATGGCTTCTGCTGTGAGATCTTTCTTCCTAACTGAAGCCAGCTGAATGAGGCTGGAGAAGGATCAGGTGTTTGGGGTCTGAACTTCACTCATCCCTAAGCAACTGGACAATGGCTCCCTCTGCTTATCTGCCTCTTGGTGTTTCCTGAACCTGACTTCTTCCGATTTGCAGTGAGATCCCATCCCTGGCATGCAGATAGAAGGGAGACAACATGTAGGTGCCACCAGACAGCGGGGCAGGGGCTGAGCGCTGATGGCTCTGATGCCTGGGGATTATCAATTTAATTGGTTTTCCCGGGGCTTGTAAGCACTCTTCGGGATCAGTTGAATGTGAGACTTCTCATGCAAAGCTTCGACCAGCCAAATGCTTCTCATAGCCAGGGAGGTCTGATGGATCAGGCGTAAGGACGATCCCAGCAGCTATTGGGCAAGCTGCCCCATGCACATGGTGCCCAACAGACTTCAAAGAGGGAATAGCAGAGGGGTGGCTGTGGGGAGAAATAGACAAACAGGCTGGGTAGAATAAAAGAGGCCCCAGTCTGCCATGGGGCAGAGGAGAACATGACTCAAGTAACTGGTTCCCATCTCTGACTGAGCCAAAGACTGGGAGGGAGGGGGGAAGCCAAGAGCTGGTGCAGAAAGTCCTGGCAATTTGATGTTAGAGAGACTGGCCTGTTGGTTCAGAGCTGGTCAGCAGTGGCATAATTCTGCTGCTGTGAAGCTGATGGGAGTTACCAGGAGGGGCAGAGTTAAACCAATCAAAAGACCTGTGAAAATCTCACCAAAAGTCCCAGTGCCCTAAAGTGCCAGCTCCTAAACCCTGCATAGTGTAACAGGGGAGACTTTGCCCCACATGCTGCACTTTGAGACTAGAATCCTTCTCTCAGTTATTAAAGAAAAATATACAAGCTTTTAAACCTCACGTTTTACTTGTGCCTGTTTGAGAGGCTGCATAACTTTCCCCCTTTTGAACTGGCTTTGGGCAGTCAAATCAGCCAGGTCAATCTCTCATGTTTCTCTCCAGTTTCCCTTTCTGGATGTGGAACCCTGGAAAGAAGCTATTTGTGTTTATGGCACTGGAAGCAACATGTTTGATGTTTTAAAAATCATTTGTAATTGAAATATAAAAGGAAAACGGATGTGCCTGTCTGTCTGGGTTTGCAAGCACAGCCAACATCCAGGGGTCTGCTTCTGCATACAAGCTGACATCCAGTAACCTCGCCCTAGGGATTCTGGCACGTTTGAATTTCCTGAGGACCGTTAGACTGCTCAGGTCTGACTTGCACAGTCTGTTATCTTGACTTGCAAACCAGTACCTGGTCTCGGGTAGCACTGACTGTCGCTTCACACCGCTTCACTGAGAATCAGGACTCCCGGGTTCTCCCCCTGGCTTGTAAATTCTAATCTCTGACACCCCAGTTATTTACCCTGAAAAGTGGGGGTAATGGCAATATTTGGCCAACTTTGCAAAGCCCCTGGAAAGCACTTGCCAAAAGGTACTATGTATGGGTGAAGCATTATTGTTGTGACAGGAATGCACAAAAGCATCGGAACATTTCTAATTTGGGAGGCAGGAGAGTTTTTAAAACTAAAAATCGGCCAGATTCTCTCTTTCTCTCTGATCTGTATCATTTCTCTGTGTGTGTGAAATCTCATCCACTATCTATAACAGGTACCTTCATAAGAGCTGGCTAACGCTCCCTGCCCTCTTGTTCTTGCCATCGCAGAACATCTCACTAGCTGGTGCTCACGCTGGCATTCTCCTCGGAGGGGCCAAGGACCAGCTAGGTCCTGGCAACTGAACTTTCCCTCCCAGTCCCTGTCAGTCACAGCCACTGGTGGGAGAGCTCACCCGGCTGCTGCCCACTCTGTCCCAGAGCTGGGTAGGGTGGATTTCTGTTGCTGTGCTACTGCGTATGCCCACCCTAGGGTTTGGGATGAAAGCTTGGGCATGCTGATAGGGATTGCTGTTGGAGCACAGGGCACTGTCAAGGCAGTGGCTGGGCCCAGCTCTCCCAGTAGCTGCCAGCCCTGCTGGGATCACACTGTGCTAATACAGGCAAGTATGAGTACAGGCCTCTTCCTGCCTTTGGCCTGCATGTGGTCCTTGTCCCCTCAGCAGCACCAGCACCTCCTACCACCAGCATCCAGCACTGGCTTTGCTGCAGGTCTCTGGAGTATCCCCTCACCCCCATCCTGTGTGTAACCATCTCACTCCTGATTGCTTTACTGCCACAGACCAAACTGGCCCAGTAGGTGGTTGGCACTCAGAGGCAGATGGCTTCAAGAGCTGCTGGCCATGATAGACAATTATGGAGATAGGATTTTAATTTGTCAGGTCCAGTCAGGGCTTTGTTGCAGGGCAAAAAAGCTGCCTGCAACAGAGCCCTCCGCTCATATATATGTATCTGTGCATCGCAGCAGAGCTGGGAGGGGATGGTTTGGGCTTGGCTGCCTGGTAAATAAAGGCAATGTTGTGCTTCCTGGGCTTTTTGCTTCAGAGTGAGTTCCCAGAAAGCGGGAGCAATAGGGGCTCTGTGAGGGGCCTTTACCTCCCAGCTGCAGAGCACATCTTCCATGCAGCATTGATTTTGAAGGGGGGACTTTGTTTTTTGTGTGTCAGTATGGGACCCTGTGTCCTGACTGTCAGAGGTGCTCAGTGCTCAGCAGGTGGGTGCCTAAAATTGGAGGTTCTTGAGAGCTGCAGACCTGTCTGAGTGCTACCCCTGGGTCTGACCCCTTCTCATCTCGCTCTTCTCTCTCCCAAAACCCAGGGCCAACACACGGCGATCTTTGTGGTTCTGTTTGCTCTGGTCATGCTACTGATCATCTACAGCTCTAACAGTGGGAATGAAGTCTTTCACTACACATCGCTGCGGAGCAAATCCCATCGTCCACCTAACCTCAAGAAATGGGGGCTGAGGAACGGATACCTCCCTGTATATGGAAACAAGGTACGGGGCATCCAGCTGAGGCTCCCTCATGTTCCTGCCCTCACCGGAGGAAGGAGCCTTGCAGACTAGCTCCAGGCTGACCTTGTAGGAGTTCCAAGCTGGGGCTCAGCAGACTGGTATCCCTTGGCTCTGGCAGCACTTAACAGTCTGGTGCAGTAGGAGCTTAAAAAGCTTTCCTTGCCTTGCCTCCATGCCACCCTGCACTGCTTGTGCCTAGCAGCGGTGCTGTCTGAGGGATTGAGCAGCAGAGGCACTACAGTGCAGATTGCAGCGTGTCTCAGGTGGAAGTCTGACCTTCAAGCTTCTTCCAGCCGCTGCTCTGAGCAGGCCCCTGGCTGTCGGGACTCCTGGCTTCTACTGCCATCCCGCTTGCTAACTAGCCCTTAATGAGTCATTTTGCCTGTCTGTGCCCCAGTCGGCCCGTAGGTCAGAGAGGGGTAATAATTCACAGACATATTAAAAGGAATCATTAATTAATTCTGCACAGCAGGTTGGACTTCTCAGGTGCTTATCAGGAGCCAATAGTAGTTGCTGCGTGCAGAACAGCCCACTACTGCCTGCAAGCAGAACTGCCAGCCTAAGCCTTGCAGAGCCGTTCTTTTCAGGCAGAAGGCAGGGTGGACTAACACGGCTAACTTCCTTTCTCAGTTATATCTGGAACAGCAATGCTCTCAGATCAGGGTTCCCTTGCCCCCGGTCCCTGTGCACACAGACAGGGGCAGGTGCTGCCTCAGAGCACTTCCAGTCTGAGTAGGCAATGGAAATGTTATCCTCAGCATCTTGCACGCTAGGAGAGGACTATGGAAACACTAGGAGAATCCTCTGGGTTGCATTGGGAGTCTATGGCAGAGCTGGGAATTAATTTCTCTTGAGTCCCCATCCAGTACCTTATCCACCCACCCTTCCTGCTGCTGTCATCAGCCAGAGGGTTTCCAGGAACTTGGGGGCATAGGCCGTGTTGTTGGGGAAGAGGGCTACTGCTCTGTGCAGTGAGGGTGCAAGGCAGTGGTGAAGTGCCAGTGCTGATAGAGTCACTGCTCTCTTTTCTTTCTTCCCCAGACTCTGAATTCCCACTGCCACCAGTGTGTGATCATCACCAGCTCCAGCCACCTGCTGGGGAGCAAGCTAGGCTCAGAGATCAACCAGGTAGAGTGCATCATCCGCATGAACGATGCCCCCACCACCGGCTATGAGGCAGACGTGGGCAACAAGACCAGTTTCCGCGTGGTGGCTCACTCCAGCATCTACCAGGTGCTGAAGAAGCCACAGGAGTTTGTCAACAAGACCCCGGAAACCATCTTCATCTTCTGGGGGCCACCCAGCAAGATGCAGAGGAGCCTGCTCAGGATCATCCAGCGTGTCAGCATGTCCTTCCCCAACATGTCAGCCTACGTTGTGTCCCCTGGTCGTATGAAGCAGTTTGATGACTTGTTCAGGGGAGAGACTGGGAAAGACAGGTACCTAGGGGCCTCCTTCCTGACCTCTCATTTGGTGCCATCAGCATCCCAGCTTTACCAGTCAGCTCCCACCCCACCAGCCAGCCCGCACCCCATCCTGTTGCATGTTACCTCTGCTGTATCACCTTTCTTCCCCATGAAAAGAAGCCATGCAGTTCTCTTGCAGCCGCTCGCCTGTCTCGCTGTCTGTCACTGGATTCAGGGCTGACAGGTCCCCCACCAATCCAAAGGGCCTGGATCCTCCTTAGAGGAGCAGATATGGAGGAATGGTGGGAGTGAGGCTTCGATGTAATTCTGTTTCATCCCATTCCTCTGCCCCCAACTGGCTTCTCCCGGTCTTATCTCCCCTGTTCTGCCTCCTTTTATCCCCTCTCCTGTCTTTCTCTAGCTGACTCTCTTTCTCCCTCCACCTTCCCTCATTCTTCTCTGTCCCTCAGGGAGAAGTCCCGGTCATGGCTGAGCACAGGCTGGTTTACCATGGTCATTGCTGTGGAGCTGTGTGACAAGGTGCATGTCTATGGCATGGTCCCTCCTAACTACTGCAGGTAAGGCTTGAGCCCTTGTGTCAGCCACCTCCCCTTGGGCCCCAGCACTTTGCCCCCATCCGAGTGGCTCACCCTGTATCTCTGTCCTCCGCAGCAAGAGGTCTCAGCCCCACAAGATGCCATATCACTACTACGAGCCCAAGGGCCCGGATGAGTGTACAATCTACATCCACAACGAGCGCAGCCGCAAGGGCAACCACCACCGCTTCATCACGGAGAAACGGGTCTTTGCCAGCTGGGCAAGCCTCTATAACATCACCTTCTCCCACCCATCCTGGCCCTAGGGGCTTCACCAGGGAACACAGAGTCAGCCAAGTGCCAAATGTGACTGATGTCAAGAGTGGGATATCTCTGACTCAAAGGGAGAACGTCTGTGGTACAAACCCTCTGAGCCAGGGGCTCAGAGGTAAGAGAGGCCACACACTGACTGCAGACTGCTGCTATCAGGATTCTCCGTCCAGCAGCTGTATGGGCAGGAAGGACTGGGTTTGACAGGGAACAGGCTGGGACAGTGCCTGTGACTGAACACACAGGCTGGGCCCTGGGAGCACAGCCACACGCTGGGCTTGGTTCGTGTTACACCCCCCTAAGACACAGTCACACACATCACAGGATCTGTGCTTCGGGGTGACGGCACCACTTCTGTGACAAGATGCCTCCCCCATGCTCATTATCAACCCTGAGGCTGCCCTTGTCTTAGCTCTCTGCGTGGGGTTTTTTTCTCAGCCCTCCTGGAGGGATATTTGAGGCTGGAGTTGGGAGGAGTTTCCTCCTTTCAGCTCTGCTAGGCTGTCAGTCAGATGCACATCTGGGAGGTTGCATGTACCACAGAGCATAAACCTAAAGGCAAGGGCCCTGCCCCTGCAGCCTCTGCATCCCTGAGGTTGCCAGCAAGGCCTGCAAACAGCATCCACCAAGGCTTAAAGAGAAGAGGATCAGAGTGTCAGGGAAAAGAGCCCCAGAGATTCTTGGGAAGTGTGAGAAACACCCAGACAAGCTCTGTGAGCCCTGGGCAGTGATGGAGCTGGCTCTCCCCTCAGGTGCTTTGCCTGGCTGGCCACTACAGAGGTTGGCTCAGCTTCTGGGTGGCTGCTCAGAGCAGGGTATACTCTGTGTTGATCGGGGTGTTGTCTTGCACTGTGCATGTGTACGTGTGTCACAGATACTGTGAGGCATTTTTTTTGTGTGAGACAATCTCAAAGGGGTACCGTGGCTTAGAGGGCCTTGCTAGTCCCCATGGGTGTACACAGGCTTCACAACTAGACTCTGCTTTGGCATCACTGGTTTCCTGGGATTCTGGGCCATGTGCCGTCTCCTTCCTCAGGCTGGCAGGCTCATGCGGCGCTCCTCAGCCTGCTTGTGAAATGGAGATTTGGCAGCAGGCGGGTGGACTTGCTGCTCTGCAGCCTAAACTGGAGTTGTGGTCTCTGCTTGCTCTTAAGACAGTTCCCCTCACCCAGTGCTCTGTTCACAGGAGCTGTGATGCCTTGAAGAAGTGACTGATGGGCTGATGCTGGCTCCTAACTACCCCTGGGGCAACCAGTTGGACTGAGATGCCCATGGCTGTCTGGTCTATTTTTGTATTCACGAGGGTTTCTGTGCCTGTTGTAAAGCTGCCTGAATGCTCCGGGAGCTGGTGCTGAAGTAGGGGGGCAGTGCCACCTACAGCTGAAGTGCAGCTGTCTAGAAGCAGGGCAGGGACATGTGGTGCGAGTGGAACGATGCTCCACTTTTCCCTTTCATAACTGATTACAGGGAAAGATAAGTCAGCTGCGGATGGGCCCTGACCCCAACAGCTCCCCCCTCCCCTCAGGGTTTGGGTATTCAGGATCCAGCTCTGAATTTCAGGCCCCTTTCTCACAGTTTTGAAAGTGCTGGTTGGCCACAGCCGTGCAACTGGGAGTGGAGTGGCCTGGGGGCTGGATCATCAGCTGCGGGGGACTGAACATGCCCAGGGCTGGGAGCCAGGAGCTTGGAGGGCGGTTGTCTGGGGCACACAGCATGCTCCATGTATTGCTGCCCCATCTGTATGCTGCAGAGAATGAAAGGGAGGGTATGAGGCCCCTTCATTATGGGGATGTTGAAATAGCAAGTGCTGGCCTCTTTGGGCAGAGAGCAGCTGCTGCTGCCCTGCCTAGCACAGCAAGGGGCAAACGGAGATGTCCCTCAGCACTGGGGTGGGGTGTGCTGCACATGACCCAGCACTGTTCCCAGTGGAGAGCAGGACTTGCTCCCTGGCAGGCACAGTAAGGTTACTATCCTGTTACTTGCCCAGGCTCGGTGTGGGGGGGTGGTGCCCACTGCGGCCCCAGTTGTTCATTTTAATTGTTGTGTGGCTTCTCCCATGTTGTCTCTTGGGCAGCCCTCTGGTCACGGTCCCTTGCAGCTGCTTGTGGGGTCCCTGGTCCTTTGAATCCCCACCTGCCAGGGAGACCTGTCTCTGCAGCCTGAGTGAGGGGCTGTGGGATGCACTGGAAATGGAAACCACGCTGCCAGCTCCTCAACCTGTGAAGAGCAGTGCCCCTCTCCTGGCTGCCTCCATTCTCTGCCACTGCACCTGTTTGGCCTGAACTCCATAGATCATGACACTGAGACTTGACAGGAAACACCCAGGCAATGGGCTTCTTTGATCATGATTGCATGGAATGGGAGATTTGCTCGGGGCTTGCTGAACTGGACTTGGGACCCAGAAGTGACTGTTCCCAAGGCAGGCATGTCTGGGGTCTGATTCTGCATTGTGCGGCCCTGTGTGTTGTCTTTGACCCCACTCTAAACAGGCGAGGGGGGGGTGACAACAACCACCCAAGGGGCAGCACAACAGCATGAATTGAGCCCCTGGTGCAGCCTCCCATAGGAACATAAGAATTGCCATTTACTGGCTCAGACCATAGGTCCATCTTGCCCAATATCCTGCGTTGCACAGTGGCAGAGAGAGTGCTGAAAGGATGAGTGAACTGGGCATGACCAGGGTTTTTCCTGCTGTTCCTTTCTCACTTGCAGCCTTCAGCATTTAGGGTCCAGGAAGTTTTGATTCAGATGCTCTATCCCTAACCCTGGTGCTCAATAGCTACTGATGCCCCTTTCCTCCAAGGAAGTGTCTACTCCATTTTTGAATCTGGCTAAACTGTCAGCTTCCACAACATCAGGTGGCAATGAGTTTCACGCTTTAATTACACACTGTGTGAAAAAAGAACTTCCTTTTAGTTTTAAACTAACTACCTACTAGTTTCATTTTGTGAATCCTGGTTCTTGTGAGAGAGAGTAAATAATAAATCCCTATTTCCTATCTCTCTGCCATTTAGTATTTTGTAAACCGTTATGTCCCACCTCAAGTGTCTCTTTTGAAAACAATAGGCCTCATCTCTTTAGTCTCTCCTCATTTGGCAGCCCCTCCATACCACTAATTATCCTTGTTGCCATTCTCTGTTCTTCTATATCCTTTTTGAGGTGTGGGGACCAGAATTGGGCACAGTATTCAAGGTGTGGACACACCATGGGTTTCTAAAGGGGCATGATGGTACTTTGTTTTGTTTACAATTCCCTTCTTAATAATCCCTAGCATTTTGTTTGCCTTTCTGACAGCTGCTGAGCACGGAGCTGATGTTTTTTAGCAGACTGCCCACGATGACTCCCAGATCTCATTCTTGTGTGGTAACAGCTAATGTAGAGCCCATCATACTGTAGGTATAATTTGGGTTATTTTTGCCCAGGTGCATCATCTTACAGTTTCCCTTCATATCTCCCTCTTATCCCATGCTCATGGTCACTTTTCTTCCTTTATCTCCCCCCGCTGTTCAGGGTCTGCTCTGAAAGTGTCTGGCAGTCTGGTGCCATTAGACACTTTCTGATCTGCTACACAATTGCATTTGGCTCTTGCTTGCTTCTCGGACATTTGTACCAGTTATGGCCAAGTTTAAAACAAACGTACGCTGCAGCCTTCTCTAGGGACAGCACTAAAGAGGCTTGATCAGATCCTTACTTGGGCAACTGCTCCACCCTGAAATCCAGGGGCATTGGTCTGGGACAGGACTAGGCCCTGGAGTTACCAGACTGGCTGGCTATATGCAGACCACGGGCCTGCTTCAGATTCCATTTTTCCCAGTGTGAATTGGGTTAACCAATGGAAGTGGAATTGAGCCAGTGTAAATCCAGCGCAAATGAGGTCAGACTCTTGTCCCATGACTGCAGCATACAGCATCATTTGCTTGTCAGACAAGGGAACGACTGACTGTGAAAGATGCTGACCAGCTCCTGGCCTCTGTCTGCTCCCTGCTTCCCTTCCTTCCAGCAGGAGCACCCCTAGGTCTGCAGAGACACTTCTCAGTGGGTTCCCTTGTTCCATGCAATAAAGCATCTTGACTGTAACATGGGAGCAAATCCCCTGTTTACTCTGATACCTACAGGCAGGAGGGATCCTCAGTCCATTGTCTTGGGCTTCAGCCAGTAGTTTGGGCCTAGGAGGTCTCTTCCATGCTGTGTTCCTCTGATACCATGTGAGTTGCCCCTCTCCCAGCATGGGGTTTAAATGCAGAAGCTGGAGGGTGATGTGGGGAGATTTGAGGCTGCTTGGTGGGGAACCTTGAGACTTCCAAGAGCTTCCTGGGAGAAGGAAGAGCCACTTCTGGCCTCGACTCAGTGCCATGAGCTGAGGCTGCTTTGCACTTATACCAGCAAGACCTGAAAGCCTCATATGACCCCAGAGATTCTCTCTAGGAGCACAAGAAGCGACCAGTTCGCAGCACAACTGCCTCCGCAGACTCTAGCTGTGCTCAGCGGTGCCTCTGCTAAACTTCACTGCCTTCAGGATGTAGTTTGGACAAGACCTGAACTCAGCCACTACAGGCACCTGATCTATCTGGTCCTAGGGAAGGCTATGGAGCTGCTAATCTCCTGCTATAGCCTGGACCTTTGGAGGTACTTAAAGGGACACTGTCCAGATATTTTTTACAAAGGGGTTGGGGAAGAGAGGGGGGGTTTTGCTTCTCGTATTTATATTAGCTTCCTCAAATAATGTTATTAGATTTAAAAATCAAGAAGTGTGATGAGATGGACTCTGGGGGGCAGAGCCTGTCAAAGTACAGTACTGGCACTTGCTTAACCATTCTAGCCCCTCTGTCAGCCAGAGTTGTGGGCACTTGGTGTCTGAACATGGTCATATAGGGTGAGGTCTGTAAGCCTTTGTTGCCTAATCCCCTTGGTTTTCAATGAGATTTGGAACCTAATGTACTTAGGAGCCTTTGGAAATCCTAGCCACATGCCTTCTATTGCACTGGCTCTTTCTATGAAGCCCAATTAGGGTGCTGGAAAATGGATTTAAAAGAAATAATATTGGTCCCTTTTTTTTTGTTTTCTTGCTGCTGCTACTTTTCTGTGCTTCTGTAAAGAGCTGATCTGATTAAACCACCCTGTTAAACCATTATTTGAATGGATCTGTTGGTCTGGGTAACTGTAAAGTCAAGTTAATAGTCAGTCATAGTCAAGATAATACACAATTCCATAGGCTCATCAGATGATGAATGGCTGCTGCTAAAAGTATATTATATATGTGAGTAGCGTGCATTTTAAATGAAGCTGAGTTGAAGTGTGAGAAATGGCAGAACTGTGGGGAGAAGCAGCCTGTAATAATTAGCGATGAATTAGCTGTGATGGGAACATCACTTAATCATTTGTTAACCATTTACTACAAATGGAGCTTTAATAGAAAGTACCAGCTGGAAAAGAAGCTGGGAACACTCAACAGTAGTGCTGTTGAGCTAAGCAGCGCACTCAAAGAATAATACATGGTACAAAGAGATGGAGCACAGAGCGTTGCTTTCCCCCTCCCATTGTTTGGGCAGCAGAGGAGCTTGGCATGCAATCTCCATCCCTCCCGGCTCTGTCCCCTTCCAGCTGGCAGGCAGGCACATTTTCCAGTGTTTGGAATAGCTCTCGCCACAGCCTCTGCATGGAGCAGCAGCGTTAACCTCCGTGGCACCTTATCTTGCCACAACATCCTTGTTGTGCATCAGCATCATGGATGGCGTCACAGCAGCGGTGGGAATAGCATTTGTTTGTTCACCGCTGTTGCTGCGCAGACAGCTGAAGGAACACATGATGGTTGCCTATATTGTGCCAATTGGTTTGGGGGTTTGTAATTAATTTCTCAGCCATGGAGCAGTAGACATGTAAACCACATCTGTCCTGGGCACCTCCAATACAGAGAAGTTTATGTCTAAACTTGGCCTGACACTTGGGTCTCCTGAGTTCTGTTCTGGGCTCTACTGCTGACTAATGGTGCCACCTCTCTGTGCCTCAGTTTCCCCCCTACCCTAGGAATTAACTATGTGGCTCACAGGGGCACTGTGAGCCTTGTTTACCCCTCTGGAAAGCTGCCTTTGCCAAGGGGGGGCATCCGTGCAAAGAATCTGGAAGTCTTGATGTGCATTTCTGCTTCCCAGTAATTCCTGACTGTCAAACCAGCCAGGAGAGATGGTTTTGTAACTCCATAGAGGAGAAAACTGTTGCTGCAATCTCAGCCTCTGTTTTTTAGACCATGAATGTGGATCTTTTGTGAGGCCTGAGAGACAAGCTGATACATGATGACACCTGCTGGTAACAGCATGGGACTGACCTTTGCTAATAAACTCTGCATCTCACCCCAGAATCCCAGCACTGTGTGCTTTAAATGGACAGTACTAGCATGAGCCAGGGCTCTGAGTTCCCATTTGATTTCCAGCCCCTGCTAGGCCCTTCAGCAGTGGATTGGAAAGAAAGATGTTCTGGGAGAGAGGAGAGAAATAGAGAGAGGGAAGTCAGTGATCTGAACAAAACAATGCAGAAGTGAGGGCCAGAGTTCAACTCTGGGTGATGGCAAAGTCCCCTTGAAGGGAAGCGTGGAAGAAAACCTTGTGCTGGTTAGGTGCTGGTGTGAGCCAGGAGAGCCATAGGAGCCTCTGTCAGACCCAGGGAGCTCTGGACCAACTGACCTCTCCCAGCGAGTCCCTGGGCTTTGCTGGATTGCTCTAGAATCTTTCGAGGTACAACAGGGCCCTGCTGTAGCTGAGGCCACATGTTGGGTGACCAGCCTACCCAGGCTCAGTTACAATTGTGTTCCATATGCACGTGGCCTGCAGCACGTTTACCTCTGGATAACGCCTGTGAGAGTGAGTCGTGGGGGAATTCACAGCAGCTCCATAAAGGGCCAGCTGCTGCCATGCCAGCCACGTACAGAAACATGGTTTGTTGCCCTGGTGTCAAGTGCCACCCGGAGCAAAGGACAGTGGCTAAAGAACTCGATGCCCGTCTTCATCCTCATCCCTCTACATCCGCCTGGTGGATTCTACTTAGAAGGAGGCCTGGCATTAGTGTGAATTGCCCTGTTTTACGTTTGACCTCCCCACCCCCAGTCCCAGCCTTTTCTGACACATCATGTTCCCCTGCTGACATAAAGTGAATCACTGTGGACGGAGCCTGCAGGATGGATAAGCAAGAAGCGACTTGTCTCGATGCCTAGTAGCCGGGTGTCAACATTGCAAAGACCATCATCCCACCCAGCACTGGCCAGCACTCTTGCTACATTAAGAAGAGAGGCCAAGGACTGAAGGGGCTTTGGAGACAGACCTCCCTCTCCCAGAGCTCCCCAATGCTCAGAGATCAGACCCTTGCAGGGCAGCATGATGGGAATGAACTCCTCTCACTGCTCTCTCTGCAGCACATAGTGAATAGAAAGCATTGGTCTCCAGGGCATGGACCCAGGACATTTCATGAGCTCTGGAGTCACTGCTTAGAAACAATAAGGTTGATTAACAGTGGAACAGAAACCATGGCTAACGTGTTGGTTCTTAGTGAGCAAAAGATGTCAGCTCTGCCACAGGCAATGACAGTGCCAACCCTTGTTCAGACTTGCACCTCAACTGAGGAGTGCGTGTACATTCCCATTAAAGGTGTCTCGGAAACCCCAGGCACCCCACCATCGCAGATTGCTTTGGAAAACCTTGGTCCACCTCTTTGCGTTTCTCAGGGGGAGTCAACAACTGACCAAGCTGGTTCCAGGCTGCGAAACACAAATGTCACACTGTCAAAACAAGCATTTTGCACCCACGGCCAGCGTCTGCCAGCCTCATGCAGCATCCGTACATCACATCGGGAGTCAGGTGCCCTGTCAGCTTGCATCTGATTAGCGGCAGGTGGTGTGGCAGGCGCCTTTGATCCACTTAGTACAGGCAGTAGCTGGGGTTCTGGCTCTGGTGCACCATAAGGATTGTGTGGGCCAATAGATTTAGGTAGGACCCAGCATTGTCTGGTTGCACAGGGAGTAAGAAGGAGCCTCTAGTTAACCATATTTGTGGAGGTCGGTCACTTTGACAGGAATAAGCAGTTAAACGGTGCAGCAGGGCAACAGCTACAGTATCCTCTCCTTCCTCACTCCCAGACACCAGCAGCCAGAGTTCACGTCCCTTGGGACCTGCAGGTAAAGTAGGGCCAAATGGTTGGATTTCTTCTCTCCAACAGCGAGAGAGGGGGAGCAGCAGCAGGCATGCAGCCAGGTCCAGATCAGCCCGAGAGGGCTTGGTCAGAGCGGGAGACGCTGCTGGTGTGACCCAAGCCAGCGTTGGCCTACAGCGAGTGCCAGAGTCTGCCCCCGCGTCTGCAGTCACCGCGGGCAGCGTCGGTGCTGCCCGCAGGCATCTGCAGCCGTCTACCCGATGCCCGC